CCAGCTGTCGGTTCCCTGGCAGGCGATTGCAGTCAATGCTCGGCCATCGAACGCCATGTACCACGGAGCAGGGACCCACACATGGGAATGATGGGAATGATGACATTACAAACCTGGTGGTGAACTCTGCCAACAGTGCGGCCGCGCCGTTCCCCTAGAGCTTGACCCTCCGCCTTTTCCTCCTCCTCCTCCTCCTCCTCCTCCTCCTCCTCCTCCTCCTCCTCCCCCTACTATGAGAAAAGTGAGGCCACCTCGACCCCGAACAGATTCCACAGTTTTGTTGGCATCTGGGGGTCGGGGCTTCCCTTTCGAATCCGGCGTAGATCCTCATCGCCCCCAAACCGTCGGAGCGCTCGAAGGGCTCGTGCGGTAGTGTAGTCGACGCGGCCAAGTGCCCCCGCTTTGCTGTTTCCCCGCTCCCCCGCTCGTCCTTTTGCTCTCTTCCCCGCTCGTCTCCTCCCCTTGCTCTGCGGGAGGGGGCGGTCGGCTGAACGGTTGAGGTTCAGAAGCAAATGTGACCACTTGGGTGGGCTGGAGACCCAAACTCTCGGTTGCTAGATGGAGCTTGGGGCGAAGTCATACCACATGGTAAGACTTGCCCCGTGCACTGTTTGTTGTTGTCGTCCTCCTCCTCATCCTCCTCGTCCTCCTCCTTCTCGTCCTCCCCGTCCTCCTCCTCATCATCATTCGTTTCCTCCTCTTCTTCGTCCTCCTCTTTCTCGTTCGCTTGCCCCACAACGCCCCACCAAGGCTAATAGTCAAAGCGTCAACGCAGGAAACAGTGGAGTAAGAAGGCAGGAAGTGGACGCAGCCCCCTTCAGCCCCATGGCGAAGTGCGAATCATCCTTCTCATCCTCTTCCTTGTCCTCCTCCTTCTCCTCCTCCTCGTCCTGCGCCTCCTCCTCATCCTCCTCTTCCTACTCCTCCTCATCCTCCTTTTCCTTTTCCCTTTCCTCCTCCTCCTCCTCTTCCTCTCTCTTCTCCCCCTCCTTGCTGGCTGCAGTTTGCCCACGACGCATATTCGCATTGTTGCCCTCGACGGCTTCGACTGTTTTTACCCATTCCTCCCTCCCTTACCTTTGATGACCCCATCGATGATATGGGGATCAACGGGGTCGGGAAGGAGGTTGTTAACGACACGTGTGATGTCGCGATAAAAACTCGAGACTGCCGTCGGATATATGCTGCAGGTGACGACTGCGTTTGACAAAGTTGGGTTGGTCTCTTCCTCGAAGTCACTCTTACCACGAGTCCATAGTCAACCCCGGTATCGAAGGTGCAGCAGGTGGAGCCCTGCGGGCTCGAGGCCGCAACGCTCGGACAAAATGGCGTGTTGTTCGTGCCCGTCGGCGTAGTGGACGCCTGGTTGCGCAGCGAGCTGTTCTGGGACGCAGAGCCGTCAAACTTTGTGTGACGGGCACTCTGATAGGTTGTGAGCGAGATTCACGGTTGCAGCGACGATTGATTCTTCAAGTTGCGTAGAATGTGTGTGTGCGTGTGTCTACGATGACACCCTCTGCGGGGGAAAGGAGCGTGACCTTTTTGAGCACGCTCGAGGGGGACGCCGCCTGATTCGGAGCTGTGCCCCCCATCGCGCGCTGGCCGAAGGAAGTTTGGGCACGACACACTTGTGCTTCCGATGTTGTTGCTTTATTCTTCGGCCCAGATTCGCTCCATGTGGGATGACAGCTTTCGTCGTGCGTGGACGTGGAGAAACGCTGGGGGGGGGGCACGTGGGAGCTTCGATACATTCGGTTGGCAGACTCGGCTGGTTTTTGCCGTCGCCGTTCCTCCTTGTCAGCGGCCTTGGGGGCCACCGCTCCCTCACCCTTACACCCCCCCCTTCTCGCTTGAAGAATCTCTTGCGGGAGGGGATGTGGAGGAGTCTCGAGCGGGAAGCCGCCTCTAAGCACAGTGGCGTGTGCGCCATTTTGCGTTTCCATGTTGTGCCCCCCGCCCTTGAGGGAAAGCACGTACGGCCCGCCAGAAAGGTACGATTAAATGCATAGTCTGCCAAGGACGTTGGCCACTTGCGCGGGCGAGGGCTGCAGTTTACGTCATTGCAGACACGTGCCCTCTGTGTCACGCGCCCGGAGACACTGTTTGTCGTCGCCTGTGGTGCTGTCTTGCTGTGGATCAGGAGAGGAGAGACACTGTTAAGGAGGAGGTCCTTTCGGCTGTGCTCCTCGACCCCGATGCCAGCAACAAGTTTGCTCTCGTGTCTGGTTGATTCGAAGACCCCCAAGATGCGGCCCCTCCCCCACAGCCGACGACGAGGATGGTCCCGACGGGACTGTTTTCAGGTTTTTCCCCGAGGGCTCTGCTGCCAAGGGCCTGCCGTGTCCGCCCGAGAGCTCTCGTGAGCTATGGGCCACAGTTTGCCTGGACGGCTCCTGCTTGAAATCTTCGGTTCGGGACGTGTGCCGTGCGGGTTGGGGCAAAGCCTGTTCAGGTCAGTCAGTCAGTCAGTCAAGCCTGGCGCGCAGACGGCGCATTGGCAATATAGAAAGTTATGCGTGTGACTGGAAACATCAACAATAGCCCCGGGCTCGGACCGGGCAGAGACATGCGGGCAGCGAGAGCGCTACGAATTCACCTGCAAACGTATCGGCGCCACGCGGGGGCAACCTCCTGTCGGCAGACTTCTTTCGGTGGCACCCTTCTCTCGGTGGCGCGCGGTCCTGTCTGGAACAGCTGCCCACGGACCTCCCAGGCAGGAGGATGTCATGCCCTGTGCTGTTTGCGGCGCTCTGCGCTCGCGGCCGCCGTGAGGTTTTCAGGGAACGCGCCGACGCCGTGAGCGTGCGCGCGTTGCCCGCCCAGGCCCGCCTGTCGCCCGACCGTCCGTGTGCGGGGGCGGTGGTGCAGGGTCGGGCTCTGGGCGGGCAGCATACACACTGTTCGCTTCTACTTCTTCGAGGGTTCTTTGATTCGTGGGGGGGCCTAGATCCTCTCACTTCTAACTCTTCCATCCTAGGCCTCTTCCTGGCCACCAGGGGGCCAGGAACAATCAGAAACGAGCACAATTAGAAATGAGCACGATTCCAAATCAACGACGTGTACGTTGAGCTGCGAGAAGGTCAAAGCGCATCAGACGGCAGACGACCCCAATCGTGTTCCTAAAAAGATATGTTTGAGGGTCGGCAGCGCCTATGCCGATCGTGCCGCCAAGCTGGGGGGCGGCGGCGCGCGAGTCCGCTGCCGCTTCGACCTTGGCCGGGATCAATGCTGTCAGTTTGCTCGGCGAGTAATACCGTCAAGCTTGCAGCTGAGAGCTCCCAATGTGGCCCAGGACTGAACTCCCATGACCTCTCGGAGGTGCTTTGGTCCAACCCGCTAGAGCCAGTGTAGGCGGAGGCCGCCAGCCCCCGCACGTGGACATGGCTTGGCCCTCCTGTCGGTTCGCGGCGTTTTTGGCAGTGCTCGACTTGTCTCCGCACCAAGCTGAATCCCAATCATGTCTGCCCGCCCCCAGGCCACTGCTCGGAGTCCCCCAGGATCAGCGTGCAAAGGCTTCGGGATTTGAATCATGAATGTGTGAGATTTGACTGTTCAGGCGATTCGCTCGTGGCCGTTTATTTGGACTGCAGGTGTTACACTGCTGGTGCTCGTGTAGCCCAATTCGGAGAGAGTTCTGCGGGCCATAAGAAGGACCCCAAGGCAGGCAAACACAAGTATAACCAGGATTCTTGGAATGAGATTCGCGAGGCCCTCCATCCCAGAGAGACGGGAGGGACCCTGCCCCCTGACACCTACACCGCGTGCTTCAGACATGCAGAGGGGCCGTAGTGTTCATCAAAGCCCTCCTCCTCCGCCTCCTCTTCCCCCTCCTCCTCCTCCTCCTCCTCCTCCTCCTCCTCCTCCTCCCCCTCCTCCTCCTCCTCCTCCTCCCTCCTGCATCCCCTTCTTCCTCCTCCATCCCCCGTCTTCCTCCTCCTCCTCCTCCTCCTCCTCCTCCTCCTCCTCCTGCTCCTCCTCCTCCTCCTCCTCCGCCTCCTCCTCCCCCCTTTTCTCCTGTCTCTGCGCCGTCAGTCTGGCAAGCGGGCCTCCCGCGGAGAGCGGCTGGCACGCCGCGGCCCTACAGGAGCAGTCCCGGAACTCCGGCGACCCGGTTTTGTCAGCAGGCGTTGTTGCTCCTCGATGTCGGCCTCCAGCGGCCACTACCGGGCCCCGGGGTCGTCAAGAACGGACCCCGAAAGAAAAACGACCCCCGGAGAGTCGGTCGGGACTTGTGGGGCCGCGGGTGTTCACAGCAACAGCAACAACAACAACAACAACAACAACAACAACAACAACAACAACAACAACAACAACAATAGCAACAACAACAACAACAACAAC